AACCCCCCCCCTGGGTACCTACGTAGGGAGAGCTAGTCACCTGTCCTGCTTAAAACCCAGCCGAGATTCCCGACCAATGCCTATTATTCAAAACACATTTCATTTTCAGAACGTCCAAACCATGTCATAGGAGAACAATTGTTAAACTTTATATTTACTACAGTTGAACCTAAAATTAAAGACATGAAACTCCGAAATATCATTGACTATATGTAGTCTACGAGGCGAAATATACCACCATAAACCCTATCCAACTACCAACAACCCCTATTGCTGAATATGAACTCATGAACATCAAAGGCAGAAATTCGTAGCTCTTGCCAAGTATGATTTGGTGTAACAATGAGCAGTATACGATCAGTGGTATGCTGACCGTGATATAGAGAATAGTAAACCGGTCAAAGAGGAAGAACCTCGGCCGACTTGAGGCTGGAGCAGTGCGATCAAACACCATGAGAAATAGAACCAACCAGAATATGGTGTAAACTGTCTTGATCGGAAACTCGGCTGGAGTAAATAGCAGCGGGAATAGCGAGACATGGCCGGATACTGCCAAGGGACGGAACGCACTAAGATACCGCCGGTCCTTGAGAGCGATCAAGCTGAAAGGAATAATGACGAGGAGAATGGCTTTTTCATGAACATGCCATCCAAAGAGGAACGACGAGTAACCGCAGAGAGTGACTGCTCCAATGAAAGCATCCCAATTAGGACGGGAAAACAGCTTCACGAGGGGTATAGTTTGAAATAGGAGAGTGAGCGCAAAGCATATCCTGGGTGTAATCTCGGGAAGCACTGCAAAAGCTGTATCCCCAACTAAACCTCTCGTAACGCTGTTAATAGCCTCCGACTTAACCGGCAATCCCAGCCGTGGCGCAACTAGGTTTGTCAGTTATTAAACCTTATATACCTATGGAGAGGGTGCTACTTACCAAATATCAATACTCTATCCACAAAGGAATACATAGCCCATACATTTGGGGCCCAGTACGCATGGCAGAGCCCACGGGAGAATGGGAATAGCCTGCTTAGGATCTGGGGAATCTGGTTCTTGAGCGCAAATGGCCCGAACGCCAGTCCAAATACGGCGATGATGCCGGATCCTAACTTTAAGCAGTTAAGGAATTGGATACGAAAAATGGACTTGGGTGAGAGGCAGTAGGTTCTAAGAAGGTAAACGAAGTAAGCTGGCGCAAGATAAAGATATATATGCTTCATGCATAACAATGCTGCGAACACGATGCCACTAGCTAGGAGACCTGTCTTTTGACGGGCTAAGACCAAGGATAAGATCAGGACGCCGTACATAGCCCCGTTATACTGAAAATGAATATGGTCTATGATGAGAAGGCCAGGAGAGAGGAGAACTGAGATTGCAGCAGCTTGAGCTGCACGCTTGGTTACCCCATGTGAAGAGTCGACAAATCTACGACGTTATGTAAGTACAGCAAGCCGAGCAGTGGTATAGTTAACATACGATTGCAGGGCGTATATCAGAATCAACTCTGTGGCGATGACTGTAGATCTCTGGAAGTAAACAGTTTTCCAACTATCATAGCCTAGATTGTAAACCCGAAGCATGGCCGGGTCAGCCAGGTTTGCTACCCGAGACATAATCCATTCGAAGTAGGCGAAAAACGGAGGATAGTCCAAGGTCCATTCAGAAGTCTTTTCGTAATACCATTCCCATATTGGTAGACTATTCGTGATAGCTAACCAGTTCCTATGCACTTCAAAATCGGTAGATTTGCTTCGAGTAGTTTAGCTGTTAGGTTCTCTATGGAGTGAAAATGTGGGAGTTGGTACAACAACAACCACAACCACAACAAGCACTTACTAGGCCGGGAATAGGAGGATCTTGAATGCTGTTGCAACTATTGCGCATTGCGCAAGAGTAGGATATGTCTCAGTCATTTGGGGTTGGATTCATGACATTCGATACTTTTCAAATTCTAGGGCTTGGCGTTGTCTGGTAACCTTTCACGATGCAAAAGAGAGGAGATGGCGTTGTAGCGCTGGGGCTTAGTTGAAGAATTGAAGTCAATTGAGGCTAGGATGACAAGCTCCACAGGATCGGTACGTATATTTACCGACGTGCGACATCCCTCGAAAATCCAACTAAAGTCGAAAAGGCAGGGGTCCGTGCGTCCCTTTTTAGTTGATCTGCCATTCCAAGCCTTCCACGCATTCCTTCCTGCCACACCCACATACCCTTTCCAGCTGCCGCCTCGCCTGTCCTTGTCGGCTACGTAAAGCATGAAACAGGGATCAAGTACCGAGTACACACCTGCTACGACGTTAGGACGTTAGCGCGAAAGAGGTACTCAGGTACTAATTGTTTCAAGCCTCCAAATTCAATTAGCCTAGACTAAAAGGAATACGGGAAACAGTTACACTTGCTCCTTGCTGGCCTTTCTGGCCTTTCTGGGGGGAAGGCTATGAAGGTTTGAGCTATCCACACTTCCAGTATACAATCTGTCTTTAATTTTTTTTAGACTTTTTTCTTTTTCCCCCTTTGAATCAATTAACTATATGGATTGACTTTAACTTACCTAAGAGCGATATTCATCAGTGCTTCTGCTTGGTCCAACAGGCAATCTTTCTTTTCAATTCGGTTTTTCCCCTTCCTATTCCTAGGCAGTTAAGCTCCCCGCCTCTCTTGAGCTCAGGCTCAGATTAGGACAGCTTTGGTGCAAAGTGTCCTTACGAAGGTCACAAATTAATTTTGTTCACTTTGTGTATTTTCCCACCACTACCAAACCGAATAATTCCTCAATAATCTCTTTAATATACCTATTGCATTTGCCGGGAAAAGCTTCTGTCTTATTAATTCTATCTCAAATTTCAAATTTCAAATTTCAAATCGAAGCATGCGTTTGTTACGATCGTCAACCTTTGCCTTTGGGCTTGCTACGACTGCAAAATTCGCTGATGCACAGGCGCAATTCCTTGTCAATGAGCTAAGCTTCGGTTACACTGGCAGGTGAGTTCTCGGGGACAAGATCAAAGAACATCTTCTAGCGGATGAAAAGGCTGACAGAAGCCCGCCAGAATAAACGACCGAGGACAAGCAACTGTGCCAGGCTTCTCCATACAGGGCACACCAGACGTACCTGAAGTCCTTTCCAACAAGTTGATCCTTACGCCACCAGCACCCGGTAATACTCGAGGCGCGATATGGGCAGACCAACCGAACAGGTATTCGACGTGGGTGGCCGATGTCGATTTCAGAGTGAATGGGCAAGAGAGGGGTAGTGGAAATCTCAACATCTGGCTTGCAAGACGAGGTAACCAAGAAATTGGCTCGTCTAGTGTCTACACGGTCAACAGGTTTGACGGCTTGGCCCTTGTGATTGACCAGCACAGCGGATCGGGTGGCATGATCAGGGGGTTCTTGAACGACGGCACCGTCGATTTCAAGTCGCATCAGAGCGTCGACAGCTTAGCCTTTGGACATTGCAACTACCCCTACCGTAACTTGGGTCGGCCTTCTCAGATCAAGCTAAGGCAAACGCACCAGGTATTCAAGGTTGAGGTTGATGGTAGGCTATGTTTCGAAAGCGACAAGATCAGCATCCCACCAGGATACTACTTCGGTATCACAGCCGCGGCGGGAGACAACCCTGATTCATTCGAGATCTTCAAGATGGTAACCATGACGGAGAATCTTGACGCTAAACACGACACACCTCCACAACAACAGCAGCAGCAACAGCAACAGCAATCAAACCAGAACCGGGCACAAGCACAAATGAGTTATGGTCGCAACCCCAATACCCGGAATAGCCCCAATGAAGCAGATGCTTTTGGTGATTCCATTCCCGATACTGCTGCCAACACTTACACAAGCTCCGAGGCTCAGTTCGCAGACCTTCACAACCGTATACAGAGCTCCAACCAGCACCTATCAACTATCTTCCGTCAGGTCGCAAGTCTGGGAAGCATCGGCGAAAAACGACACGAAGAAGTCTCCAAGGCTGTCTACGAAGTGAAGCAGATCCTGTCGAAGCTAGATAGACTCGACTCGCTTCAGAATGAAATCACCAAGCTACAGCGGGAACTTAAAGACATGCGAAGCGACATCAATTTGAAGGTGAAGGACTCGGAACATGCGGTGAAGAGTTTCATAGGCACAAATCACGGTACCATGTTAGAACACGTCGCGGTGCAGGCTGCCCCGAAGCACGGGAAGCTCATCTTCGTCATCATCGGAAGCCAGATCCTGATAGTGGCTGCTTACATCTACTACGAGCGGAAGAAGATCATGCCCAAGAAATACTTATGATAGATCTAAATAGTTATTTGAGGAGGGGCCGGCGAGGCGAGGCGAGGCAAGGCGCTGGGTAGAACTTTGTATAAAATATCTGGACGTGGGATAGGGGTTTGCATGACTGTATTTTTGTCTAGCGCATGAATGAGAATTTCAACGAGGCGGCGTTACCCTGAACTAAACATTTGAAGTGTGACGACGATAACTCGATATTACCCCCTATATGTCTGTCTTGTACTATATACCGAAAAGAAAAAGACTTCATCATTGCGCGAGATATCACTTTTTTTCCCCGTCGATTGCATTTTATAAAATAGATATGAGGTGTTCGCGAAATCTAATCTTCTCATAAAAGTCGAATCGAACCCCAACCGAAGCCTGAAAGAGAACGCCGCAAAGACAACGACTACATACATGTGGGTAAGATACATCATATACATCAAGCTGGTTTCCCAAACGCCTATTCCCATCCATCCCTTGTATGAGCTATGTATGTATAAGTACCTAGGTAGGTACCTAAGATAGGTAGGTTAAGTACCTTAGGTACCTATGTAAGAGGTAGATAGGTATGCGAGTAACGACTGACGAAGTAAAACAAAAGAAACCCAAAAAGTACATATATACCTACCTATATATCCTCGCTTGCTTGCCTGTTTATTCATGTAGGTATTTTATCCCAATCATTTTCCTATTCGTTTTTATTTTTATTTTTTTTCACCCCCCCCCCCTCCCTTTATCTCCCTCCACCTCATCTCCCCCCCTAAGCGCGTCTTTCTCACGCATACCCCATCATGCGCAACAGCTCGGGGCCCTTGGGCGCAGTGGTCAGGTCCTCGTGGCCGTCGGGCGTAACGAGCACGCAGTCCTCGACGCGCGCGCCGCCGACGGCCCAGTAGCGCTCGAGGGCCGCGGCGTCGATGTAGCGCGCGTGCTCGGGGCGGCGCAGGAAGTACGCCTCGATGTACGGGCGGCAGAAGTAGATGCCCGGCTCGACCGTGACGACCATGTTGGGCTGCAGCGAGCTGCGGGCCGCACGCTTGGATTTCTTGTTCTTGGGTTGCGTCTGGGGCTGGGAGATGGATTGTTGGCGTTGTTGGGGCGGAGACGGCAGACGGCGGGGCTGCGGCTGCGGTGGGAGGGGAGGATTAACGTCGCCGTTGATGGTGGCGTTGCTGTCGCTGTTGCTGCTGTTCTTTCTGCTTGGGGGCGGCGACGAGGGTGAAGTTGGTTCGGCTGCTGTTGTTACTGCGACCGGAGGTGGAGAGGGCGATGATCGTGGTGGGAGAGGTGGGTTTATAGATTGCGTTGGCGAGGACTCTGTGAGTGTGGATGGCGATTGCGGATCCTGCGACGTGCTGGCGGTGGTGGTGCTGGTTGGCGACGAAGGCGTAGGAGGGGCGTTGCTTGCGGCTTGCTTGATCATGGCGCGTACGGACTGAGGACCGATGGGTCGGCGCTTTCCCCACATACCTTCACCGGCGGGACGCAGGAGATCTCTGCTAAGAACGCTAGAGGAGACAATATTGTTATTACGACTGACATACGAAGTGATGGGAATAAGGGGTGGTTGTTGCTGTTGTTGTTGTTGTTGCTGTTGTTGTTGTTGCTGTTGTTGTTGTTGCTGTTGTTGTTGTTGTTGTTGTTGTTGTTGTTGTTGTTGTGGATATAATAAGGCAAGGGGTTTAAAGGGGATTGGAGGGCAAGTAAACAGGGAGGAGGAAACCAACTCGTGAACGTCAAGCCCGACGTGGTGGCCGAGGCCGTGCGGGAAGAAAGCAGCACCGGTGCCATTCTTGAAGATCTCTTCAGCAGTCCCGTTGTGCAAGATTCCAAGCTCTAGCAGGCCTTGGACGGCAATAAACGTCGCGTGCAATTGCAAGTCGCGGAAGACAACGCCCGGCTTGATACGCCGTATACACTCTTCCTGCATCCGATGAACCAGCTCGTAGATAGCCCGAGCCTCCAAGTTGAATCGGTAACGTGGGCCTAAGGGAAGAGTACGTGTTATATCGCTAGCATAGCAAGACCACTCGGTACCGGCATCAAGCACCACAAGCTGTCGTCCCGCGAGCGGTTCGCTGTTAGCCTCGTAGTGCAGAGTTGAAGCGTTGGGGCCGGACCCAGCAATTATAGGGTAAGCCTGCGTTTTCGCGTTAGCTGCTCTACACGCCGCGGCGAAGGCGGCTTCGACTTCACATTCGTTCTTCATGCCGCCTAGCTGTAGAGCGACCCTTTTGTGTGCCGCCGACGAGATTTGGTTGGCCTTACGAATCATAGCTATTTCATACTCGGATTTGATAACCCGCGCTTCATCCATCGCGGGCTGAAGCGACGTGACGTCGATCTTGAGCGAGGGCCGCAGCTGTTCGAAGCCGTCAAATTTAGGCAGCTGAGCCGAGCGAAGGGCGTAAAGAGACTTGATCGTAGCCAACCGTGCGCTCAGATAGGCCGGAAGCTCGCCGATGTACTTGACGTCGTGAACGTCCGACTTCGTGATACATTCTTCGAGCGTAGGCGTCTTGCCGAACCAGAGTATCGTTGCTGGAGGTGTAAACGGGATCCATAAAGTGAGCTTGTCCGCGGCGATATCGTACGTCACGCTACAGCCCGGAAAGTCGGCACCGGTCAGATAGTAGAAACTGGGTGCTCCAGTCAGCGCCAGGGATATTTAGAGGGAGATCGGTACCATTTAAAGAGTACCTAGATAGGTAGGTAGGTAGACATACTATCGGCGTTGCCGGAAAGGTGGTCCTTGATCTGAATCTTCCCACGTTGATTCCAGCTGGCCCGGTAAATAGATAATTCCATTATCAGCTCCAAGCTCCTTAGCAACCTTTCTCGCATGTTGTTTGGCTAAGCGTTGTTAGAATCTATTCCTGAAAGGCTCGTATAGAGGGGAAAGAAGAGAAGAGAAGAGAAGAGAAGAGAAAAATTGAGGATTATGAGATGTAGATTTGATATTGGTATTGGTATTAGTAGATCGTGTAATATGTTTAGAAAGATGATGTGGTGCAACCGTATATGTTGTATCATGCAGTCTACAAGGAGGCTGGGTAGCATGTAATGTATCCTTCAGGGGCTAGCATCACCCTTGTATTGTCCAAAAGATGCATGCAAGCTGAACCGCGTTCAAACCGTATAGTTTATATGTTTTATATGTAAACATAAACACATACTGATACAATATAGTTGATGCAATATACTAAGCTACCAACACTGCATCGTCGGTGTGTAGCTCCAAGGGATATGACTTAGTTAGGCTCGAAACTTACCAGGGTATCTTCCAAGGCCTTCGCCGGCTTTGGCTTCTAATTCCGCAACGTTAACTTCGATAGATCTGTTCCCAATAACCTCTGTCAGCGGTATTCTAGACAGAAGCGGAATGCTGAGCATGACTGCGACGGCTGCAGAGACGGCGCTGTGCACCAGGCCCTTCGTTCTGCAGCGGAACTGGTGAAGGTCCATTGTGGTAGACATTGTAACTGTCGGTGAAGCTAAGGTTAACGGGGGCTTCGGGATAGCAGTAGCACGTACAAAGCATCAAATTCCTCAACGACAACCAGGTCGTGCTCGATATCTATAGCCTCCATCTTTAAAAAAAAAACTTTCCGTAAACTTAGTTGTTGTCTGACGAGTAGAGCAACGACAGCATCGTCAGTGGGGTGTTGTCATTGTTGTACTAATTCTAACATCTTACCCCCTGGGCGTAGTCGTATTATACGTCTGAAGCGGCTGATCTTATTCGACAAAATAAGCTTATGCAACAGCCAGAACAGCTTAGCTGGTCCAACCTGGTTCAACCTGGTTGGAAGCTTGGGCTGATCTCACGTGGCGAAGCTCGGTTCGCATCGCAGCACCATGCCTATAACTAATTTACACGTACCAAACAATCATAGCCAAGACCACCTCCACAAGCCAGAAGCCAGAAGCCAAGTGATCTGTCTAAGGCCGTCGTGCAGCCCCTCAGGAAGCCCGAAGATCCTGAAGATGCGCCCTATGTCCGCCCCCAGACTTACATTTTCTCTTTTCTCTTACTTGTTCTCTTATTCTCTTGGCCACTAACTGGACCAACAGGAGGTATACCGACGTAACCCCTTGCTTTTCTCTCGAACTCATTCGTCTCGGATTTTAGCTCCGAGGGTTGGGCATGTTGGGAGCTAATTTCGATCCGACCCCGATCAACGTCGCAGATGGACAGGATCGCTGTAACGGTTTGCCAATAGAGGCCACTTAAGATGGCTTTATTACAAGGTGGCCCGTAGATAGCACAAATGCCAAGTTATGTGCCTGATTTGCACATTTTATATACATCATTGAGCATAATCCACAACGAGGTGTTCTCCCGCCGTGTCTCTAAAAGATCCTGCTCATCGCCTTTGTTGAGAGAATAAGACTCACTTTGGATCTTAGATATCTTAGATGACGTCCATAGAACGAAAATTCATCAGCTGCAATATGTGACTGTCCATATTCGGCGTCAATCATCAATATTTTGATTTACCTATGCCAAACTCCAATCCCTTCCATCATCTAAGAAAACATCCGTGGATGTCGCAATTATGCAGAGGGGTATCCTTTTTCTACTCACAAACCTAGTCCATTCCATGCTAAGGAAATGGCTGCCACGACGTATTAGCTAGTAACTCTTCCATCTCCCCCGGTTGTTGACCCCGTCGCCGCACCAAGTGCAATTGGTCTGATTCAAGTTGCGAGTGAGGTGAATGCCGGTGTTCTAAAGTGTTCATCTGTAACAGCATTGGCTCCGAATACATCTGCGCTGGGAAGTTGAAGCCTGGTTGAGCTTGCGACTGCATTAAGCATGGCGGCAGCGGTCCCATAAGTTGTCCTTCGATGCTATCGTAGAAATTAGGTATATAATACGGAGCAGGGCCGTGGTGTGACAGGCCTCCTGGACTACCGTCCGAAACGCCTGACTGATGAGCGCCGAAATCAAGTTGGGGTTGGTTGGGATATTCTAAGGGGTCGTCCGAGGGAAACATTACCGCATCTAATTGGTGGACCGAATTGCCCGCACTGAATGCTGGATGTTGCAAATCTAGAGGGCTAGGCTCATGTAGGGCCGCGGCCGTTGCGGAATCCGGGGACGGTATCGGTAAATCTAACGGCGAGAATTGAAAACTGGAGGCAAATGAGCCGCCAAATTCTGGCTGTGGTAGAGAAGAATTGTCAACAGGGATGACTTGCGGGACGAGCCCAACCGGAGTCTTTCCAGCCTTTTTCGACGATTTCCCCCGAGGCTGATTGGGTCTCTCGGGGAGACGCTGTATTGAATCGTTTGAGTGTGCTGGAAACGGCATCGCCATATCATCATGTTCTCCTGATGCGGGACGTTTCAGGGATGTCGTAGTGCTTGCCTGCTTAAGGCTCTCTGGTAATTGGTCGAAGAGTATCTTGCTAGGATTAGCTACATCTTGCATCTCGCTAGGTTTGTCGTAGAGTCACAACTTACAGCTAGGGATTGGGATATACGGTCCGCAACTAAGCTCTTTCTTGAAAGCTCTTCAATAATCTCTTTCCCGGCTATAGCATCTGCAAAAATCTCCATAGACCCTGGTTTGTCTTGATTCTCTAGCACGAAGAAGACTAGCGTTATGATAGCGAAAAATTCGGTGAAAAGAGTGAACCAATATGGTCCCACGAGAGAAACCTGTTTTCGCATCTCTAACCCGATATGTACGATGTTTCGCGCGACACTAACACCAGCAGCTCCGCAAGCATAGGCACGCTCATTTACATCCTTACCCGCCGTGATGCGTGGAGAAACGTAATGTAGAAATGGCCTATATAGTACCATCTGGATATGAGCGTAAGTAAACCTCAGTAAGTTGCGCACCCTAGAAGACCACTTAGTAAGCGCTCGAGTCCAGCATCTACTCCAGGAAAAACTTACCGAACGACTTCAACAGCACCAATAGAGTTCGGTCGCCAAGCACCCGGCAAGTCCTCATTCCATTGTTGAAGCTCTTTTTCAATTTCTTTTATTTTTCCGTAGCTGATCATATAAGACGCGTAAGGCTCTCCAACACCTTCAGCCTCGCTCTGCTCCATACCTTTCAACGGGTAAACGTTTTTAACAACCTTACCCAAAATATCCATCAGTCGTACGTGAGCATTAAAGGCCTCGAGGAAAGACGGAGTCCCTGGAGGCGGGATGAGTATCTTGTCTTTCGTGATGTACTCGTCGTCCACAGGGGTTGGTAAAGGTTGGTCAATGTCCTCGTCATTTAGAAGCAGCGGGAACCCTAGTAATGCAGACACATACGTATCCATCTGCCTACATATATAGAAAACTCTTCGTCTCGTTTCAGCCTCTATCGGATTTAGTGTAATGTGAGGTAGGTGTCGATGCAAACCCATTCTCAACGCAGATCGTAAGGCAATCCCCACAAACCCATAACAGGTACTTAAATTCGATATCGACTGGATGAACAGTATCATAAATAGTAGAGCTTGAAGCGAGGGGAGGTCTCGACACTCCGTTATATCTTGCAAAATAGCTCTTGCACTACTATAATATTTGATCCTAAAAATGCGTAAGTTAGTCGAGGTGAGAAAAGCCAAAAAAGGGGGGGCATAATATTACGCTTCGTCCATCGCGACTTTGTATGGTGGCGTCTCCGAATTCTCATTTTCGGGTATATTATACATGCAGCCAAGGGCCATGACAGAGTATGCTAGCGCTAGACTCCTTTTGTTCTCTGACCCAGCTGCGCCTATTGGTTTTTCGTATAGGTCATCCAACATCTTGTAAAAAGAAGGGACATGAACGATACGCAGAAGACATGTCGCATTATTAAGCGACTCAGAACATAGCGCAAGGGCCCTCTCCTTTGGGGGTAAATCGTAAGGAGGTGTAATACGATTTGGTGGCGATCGTGAACTTGATAGGGGTCTTGGGGGGTCTAGAGTGAGGACGCCAACAGGTCGAGGCGGGCGAGGAAGAAACGGCACCTGATAATCTCTGCCTAGAAGACCACGAAAATGCTCCTTCATCCTCTTGAAGAAAACCGAGCCAGACGAGGTTCCGTGGAAATCATAGTTGCCCCTATCGTCGAGGTCGAGTTGGCCAGCGGTTTCGATCATAGAATGTAACTGGGCGTCTACAGAAGACGAAGAGCCTGGCTGCTTTCCCTTGGTTGTCAAGGACCGTGTTCTGGCTTGCTCCCGGATGCGAAACTCCTGCTGGACTGAAGGATCCAGACTTGGATCGTTGAGATCAACATCTGGCATGAATCTGCGTAGCAAGTTCTCTGCCCTCGATAGCTTATTTTCTAGAGCCTCTATATACTGCGGAGCCGGATTCCTGCGCCTGTTGGAAGGCTTATCGTATGTACAGTCTAACAATAAAACATCAGCCGGCAAGGAATAGCTAAGGAATGCGGGTAAAGGTTACCATAGCTATACACCTGACAATGGGTGCATGGCTGCTTGCCATCGCACTTTATCTTTTTCCTACGACATTCACTGGAAGAAAACCAAGTTAGTATTGTGATCTTCAGATGTTACTTAAGCGTCGAGGTGAAGATATCTAACTGGGAAGCTCCGGGTGACACTAGACACGCTCACAAAAGAGACGTGTTTTAGAAGGCAACCAAGGAGGGATTGGAGCTGAAAAATGGAGTTTAGAACTGCATACTCGCATGCGCGCGTCACCCTCCGGCGCTTCTGAAGAGGAGCAGACGGAGTTTCGCTAGAACTTTCGGCATGGCTACCTGGAGGAGCAGAGGCTGGAGTCTCCCCTGCCGGAGAGCCCGTTTCCAAGGCATGCAAAGAAGATTCCTCTTCGTCAGACACCTGGCCGTCTACGGTTTCGGGCTTAACAGATCCCATGCGATCAGCAGGGGTGCGTGAAGAGCGAGAAAGAGGTGTCATGTCCGGTTGATTGTGGGTGCCGGGAATGGCACCCTCCTAGAATACGTGAAGAATAGCCCGGTGCCGTCTTCTTTCGCTTTAATTCATATGCTTATGAGATAGGAAATGTGTTCCAGCGCATTTTCGAAGCTGAATGCTTGCTCTTGGGCAAACTAATTATATCGAACAGGTGCCACAATACAGGGTGGAAGTTGCTTTACCTAGGTATATGAAAAGAAGTCAGTAATGCAGGAGGGGGTTGGCCCGATTGAAGCTTCGTGAATAGGCGGAAGGATTAGATAAATAGCCTCGGCGTTGACAAAAACAAAAAACGTGAAGGATAAATTAATAAGGTAGAAGAAGAATAAGTAAAGACATGTTTTTATCTGAGTACGAACATCTAGGGCAGATAGTTGAACGATGAACGTTGAACGAAGTAAGTGAGTAAGAGAAAAAGTAGAGTAAGTAGGGTGAGATGGGACCGGAGGCGCTGATGCAGTAGCGTAGGTCATAAAATCCATAGCATCCATAGCATCCATAACATAGGGCGTCTAAGATTAGAGGCAGGTAGGACAAAACCTCTACCTAACTTCCTCCTACACATTAAAGATGCAGTAGGCTACCCTAGTTTTGCTATTACGTACATACTTTAGGTAGTGTAGGAATTGCATGTAAACGTTGTCTTTTTTTTCTCTTCTCCCCTTGGCAGTTTGAGAAATACATATACATACCTAGGTAGGTATTGTAGGGCTACGGGTAAAAAGAGGGTGTACCAAGAAGATCAGGTACCTACCGGGAGAAGGTAATGGAGTTAGGTATGCGCTTGTTGTCTGACGTCCTGTAGTGACCTGTAGCGACCTGTAGCGAGTATGGACGTATGGACGTATGGACGACGAACAAACACAATGAATGATCAAACCGGGATTGAAATGAAAAGAAAAAGCGGTCGGTCGGAATAACCCGATTCAAGGATAGAATTGATTGATAGGGCCGATACTGTTTGGGGCTAGTAACTTTTAAAAATTAAAGAGATAGGTATCGGATGGACAACTAGGATATACCTTCCCCTATGGCACTTTGCGAAGAGTAAATAATAATACGATGAACGAGAATCCAAAGCCAATTCGTCTCGTCTCTTAGAGGCATTTCAAAGGGGGGACGATGGAACGCTTAAGGAAAAAAAGACATGGTGGCTCGAGTGGGGAGACTATGCAAATAGAAAGGCGCTTAGTTAGATAGATAAACCGGGATCATATAGTTGGGTAAGTACTGCCTTTTCCAAGGCGGGGCGAAGCTGCTTTAAAAGCTGGGCGATCCCTGTATTGTACATCTAGCTGATAAATGAGCCGGATGGTACTTCCTTACGAGTCATGACGAAGTAATAGGCTGGTGTCACACAGATTTGAACAGACTACTCCGATTTACACTAGTGACTTATGCATACCCAGATGCATATGTATAAGCAGTATATGTACATAGAGATATAGATATGTATATGTATCAAGCCCTGAGCAGAGACATCTTCATGAAAAATGTATTAAGATAAGTTACTCAAATAGATTTCTTCCTTAATTGTTTACTTAATCTAGTAACCCGAGTATCTCCGTACAAAAGAATTCTCAGACATCTAATCTATAATCCAGTTACTTTCTGTAGTATAGAAAAGCTTATATTAATTACATGACTGTATTAACGTGTAACACTTAGCATTATCAACACCATAAGCAATCACGGATAGGACTAAATATTGCATACGTGATCGAACGTACGAGTTACGAAAATGGCCTATTTCTAAAATAAGGGACGCACGCAAGGAAGCTTTGTACCGAGGATAGTAACTTTCTAGTTAGGGAGCACCAACGTACATGTCGTGGAGCTGACAGGAGGCCTCTAGGTTTAATGGCATACGCAAAATTCAAATGGGTAACACCAACATATCTTAATTCAATGTCAACAGGTAGTGAGGCCTCCTAGATACAGTAGGTCCGTTTAAACGAAGCTAATAAAGTCGAGCTTTGCACATGAGATCGGGTTATTTGGTTCATCAACAACTAGATCTCTCCAAACCGAGTTTTCTCAAATTACGTATGTTTATCTTGGCTTCGAGTCTAGAACCTGTAAGTAGTTTTATGGCTGACTTCTACCAAGCTTTGATCGCCAAGTATGTACATACCTTAGGTACTTTTACTTCCAAGGCTAGATTGCCAGACCATGACTTCAAGTTCTATATGCCAATGCCAGTTCCGTTCCTTTTCTTCGAAGTGAGCTGTTCTCTTCACTCATTATGCTTTGATAAACACGATGACCCTAGAATTGCTTGTCATGACGGCGCTTAGCTCGAGTATTCGGAGGGGTTTTAGCGTATTGCTAATACGAATACACAAACGGCGGCTATTGATCCTCATAATGGCAGCTTCTCTCACGTCCACTACATCATAGTCAAGTTTACCGGTCAGGAACACAAGGTATCACATCATTGCAGGCTATTGCAGGTCTGATCACCATGTATAGAATATACATATTATACGTATATACGCGGAGAGCCCGTAGCAATGGTCTTGGCACGCCTCTAACCTCCAAAGCCATGTTCCTGCATGCATATTCGCGGAGCGGTGTTGGTGTAGTAGAGATAAGCCAGCATGCAACCGTAACTGACAAGATCTATCGTTGATATTATGTAAATGAGGCCAGGCTAAAACTCGGAGAAGATCTCTATTAGTGCAGAGATAGATTGCTCTGTTCTCCAGCCAAGAATGCTCTGGTTTGACATCCTTTTTTTGCGTTTCATATTATTGACAAGGACAGATCAATACCTACCTTCGTTCCAATTGTGATTAGGCGCTGGTATGGATTAGAGATAGATACCTCTTAGATCTCGGAAAACCGGCACACCGTCGTCTTGGCCCTCTCCACCGAAAAAGCTCTTTGGACCGGAATACGCCATGATTGGAGCTGGCGTCTCTGTGCAAAAGTGGACTTCAATCTTGGCAATATTCGCGATATGATTCTCATTTAGACCACGGGAGAGAATAGATACGAGCACCAAAACCGGCGTATACCCATTCTTCCATGTATTTAAAATGATAGACCTAGATACAATAGCCAGTATTAGTATAATACATAACTAGTACAATTATATTTGGATCAACTCATATCATTCAATTGGCCCAAAATACCTTTTCCCACATAGAATTTCGCCCACCTAAGTATAGTTATATCGGCCAAGTTTCAGAGTATAATAGGTTCCAGAGACGCGTTCTTACAACTCATTAAAAGGAGGTATATAGGTATGTTCGACGTGTTTACGGGGTATGTAGTACTGTTTGAGTTGACCAATAAGTTTGCTAGGTAGGTAAGACATGTTGAAATCGCCGTTGAAATAATAGGTCTCAGATAATTGAACGTTTGTTATTTTCGTCTCGTGGTCTGTATCCACCTTAGCCTCGTTGCTTAGCCTGTGTGGATCCAAGGTACGGGCGGGCTGGCGGGAGATGGAAATATCTACTTGCCGGGAAGCCGTCCTATGTCCGAGGCAGTATTATTGATATAAGCAAATCTAATTATTTCTTTTTCTTTAAGCATCAAATTAGGATACTAATTTCAATTGTAAGAAACTTCTCATAGTTAGAGAAAAGTGTATAATTTATAAAGTACCTATGTAATTTACATTAACGGCTCGGCAGCTTTATTGTGTGATTGTTGTGTGATTGTTGTGTGATTGTTGTGTGAATGTGGATGCATGAGGCTTTGGCAAGCTGAAGGCTGCCCGCTGCGTAGCTGCTTACCAAAATCAACAGCACGCGCTCTTAGTGTTGCGAAACTCCACTTAAGCCTTACGTCCCCAAGCTAACTGGGTACGTACTTGTGTACCTGAATAGGTAATGGTCCAATGGATTTAGGTGCACCACATGCATAGAGCGATAAGGTATTGTACCTAAGTGCCTTGTCAGAACAAATAACATACCTACCCTTTTTCAATTTGACTTTATTGACGAGAACAACAAAAAAGAAAATAATGAAAAAAAACCATGTTAAAAGAATTATATTAAATTTTAATTTAAAAAAAACATTCGGGAAACTTGTTTAAAGAAATGGTAAAGTTATTGAGGTTATAATATAACTAAGGTACTCCTGTTACATGATTAGAATGGGGCTTCTTTTTTGAGGCGATTCTGCTTGTCAGGTCCAACGTACCTAGGTGTAGCTACCCCGCCAAAACAACGTACATAGAGGCAGCTTCGATGTTCACAGCCTTGCTACCTATTTTTTTCTAATACACATTTCACACACACAGTGGACCAGAATATCCCAAAACAAAGCATTCAACATTCTCAGTCTATAATAATTCTACTCCTCAGGCGCCCAACCATATTCCATATTTTTCACAACATAGCCAACGGATTAAGGTACAACTACTTGACCATAGGCCCCAATTTCTTGAGCGCCGGCATGATGGCAGCCGATCAGCACATCCTTACCTTCTTTACCGCCATGGACAACCAGGGTAGTATTATTGTCAGAGGTACGAAGCCACTTGCAAACGAACAGATTCTTCTACAAGTTGTTGGGAAACTAACGTATTCTAGATGCTCCGAAGCTGGACCTTGATCTATACATTTCTAATTACAAAGGTTAGTTTTCGCAAGCTCTTATGGTAATAGCTACCTACTTACCTACTCTACTAGGCCGTACCCGTTTCGACCGATTATTGTTAATTGGCCAATGCTCCGTACCTCTATGCGTCGATGCCCTCAAAGCTGCCATAGCCGAAGCCAAGCGTGGAAAAGATGTCCAACGATACCGCGATGCCTATGAATACATTCGTGTTGCTGCACCCGACGAACCTGAGGCTAAATGGGACGATGCCTGGGTCACGGCAACAGGGAAAGCCAATAAGGCAGAAACTCACCGACTTGAAACCGAGCTTAAGGGCTATAAAAATAATTTGGTGAAAGAGAGCATTAGGGTATAAATTCGCTTCCAACCTAAGAGAGGAATCATTAAGAATAACACTGACATACTTAGATTGGTCACCGCGATCTTGGCGAACACCTCGAGTCTATTGGAGATCTTAACGGGGCCTCGGATACCTATATCAAGATGCGACCCGATGCCAGTACACAATCTCATATCCAAGACGTAGGCAAGCATATCATTAGTATTATGCTGCAGAAGCGAGACTGGGCCGCAGTTCTAGCAAATGCGAATAAGGTCCTGGCTATGAGCCCAGGAAGCAACGAGCAGAATACCGAGCAACCTTATCAGAAGATGATTTATGGTCTCGCCCAACTCGGGGAAGGTCGATATTACGATGCTGCTAAGAGCTTCCTCGAAGTTGGTGATCCGATCAGCTGTCAGGCACATAACGACGTCGCTAGCCTAAATGACGTCGCCACATATGGCGGGCTTCTTGCACTCGCTTCGATGGACCGATTAGAGCTACAGACTCGAGTTCTGGATAGCTCTAGCTTTAGAAATTACCTAGAGCTAGAGCCACATATCCGCAAAGCTGTCAGTTTGTTCGTCAACGGACGATACTCGGCTTGCTTGGGAATACTCGAGTTATACCGAAATGATTACCTTCTCGACATCTATCTCCAAGCACACGTTCCTGCGATTTTCTCGCAGATTCGCAGCAAGTGCATTGTTCAGTACTTCGTGCCATTCTCATGTGTCACCTTGGAAAGTCTAAATGCAGCCTTTGCCAAACCCGGAGAGTCTATTGAACGAGAGCTCAAGAATATGATCAGAACAGGTGCTCTAAATGCTCGCATTAACACCATTGACAAGGTAAGTTGAAATGTATCTATTAGAGCTAACTAGCGCGTTACTAAGATCTTCGTTTAGCTTCTTGTTGCCGTCTCCACCAACTCTAGAGCAGTTATGCAGAAGAAGGCTCTGGATTCCGCCAATAACTATGAAAAGGAAGTCCTAGAGAGAATTCGTCGGATGAACATCGTAGCGGCTGACCTAGAGGTCAAAGGCACTAGAAAGGCTGCTGGCGCAGGAGGCGGTAATATCCCCGGCGTAGGCGACATCTGGACTGACGAAGCTAGGAGACAGCCGGCTTCCAACGACGCAATGTCTTAGGTGGTATCGTTTTGAGGATAAGACGGCAATGCTTCTAACGCACAGGGATGAATCATGTCTATTATAGGCAGTGATTTCCAGCATTATGACGGGAAGTAGTCGGGGTTTAGAGAGAAATATGTATGGAGATGAACCGAGTTGTCCATAGGAACACCCGTCATCACCACTGCGAGGCAGCCAAGCATATAGGCACACAACGCATAATAAGGAGTTGCTAGGATACAGGCGCCACGGATGTTGCATTGCAGTTTCTTTTTTTTCTTTTGCAGGGAGGTTCTAGGGTTATGTCTGCATGGCATATTACGTCGTTCAAGAGCATGAGATTCGCGAATACCCTATGACGAGGTAGTCCAGATATGAATTAATTAATTGAGTGCTGTTACCATATCATCCCATCAGCTGCCTGATATCTTCCGGGGGCCAGCGTACTTGCGCAAACGTTAGACATCGTTTGATGCTCTGTAAATATTTCCTAGTCACCTCGTCACTCATGATATGTCCCCGCTCACCATCATGTAATTTCTCCCGCGCGCTTCGCTCGTGGATACCCACCATGGTAACACCGATAGGCCACGCCGCCTTACCGATACTCAGGCGCAGATACCCGTCGTTAGCGTCTACGTAGCGGCGCTCCTGGGCGGCCTGGACGATTTCCACGACAGGCTTTAGGATGTCGTCCTCTAGCTCGCCCTTCTCGAACTTGCGGAATAGCGGTACCATGTTGTCGCGGCTCGATACCATGGCGTTGATAGCCGCTTTCCCGGCGAACGTATCGCGGTTCTCTTCCCGCGCAAGCGCCACCTCCCACTCCCGTAGCACCATCGTGAAGTAGGACGCTAGCTGTCGGAAGAGATACTGCCGTCCTGCCTTGTCCTGTGGTATCGAACTGTCTACCTTCATGTCCTTCTCCTCCAGCAGCTGCAGCGTTGTGGGTATGGGCCCGGCCGTCACGACGGTCGTGAGTCTTCGGTACCGCCTCAGTTTCGCGCGATGCGTCTCCCCGAAGAGCGTGGCGGGCTGGCCCAGTTCGCGCAGCTTCGAGACGAGGGCCTCCTCCGGGATGTCCTCGTCGCCCTCGGCGCCTGTGCTGCCTTCGCGGCTGCTCCTGCCGCCGTCTTCTTTGGAGAGTTCGGGGAGCCCGAGGCGTTTCCGTCGGCGGCGCTCTTCTTCGGCTGCTTGCTCTTCTCGCCGGCGCCGCGTCTCTTCTTCCAGCTTCCGGCGCTTGTCCTCGCGGGCCTTGGCCTCCTCGGCTGCTTCCTCTTCGCGCTTGCGTTTCTCGGCGGCTTTTGCCTGGCGCTTTTCCTCGAGGGCTTTTTGTTCTGCCCGGTACGCGGCTTCGCGTTGGGCTTCGACTTCGGAGCGGCGTATGTACTTCTTGTTGTTGGAGGAGGACGAGTCGCTGGTAGATGCAGGCGTTGTTGCTGTTCCCGTCGCCTTGGCGAGCTCTTTGGACATAAGCGATGCGAAATCCATATTGGCAGGTGGTCGCTCTGGCAAGATTTGCGAGCCCACCGGGTGGCTGGTAGAAGATGACTGCTTCAACGGTGAGTGGAGGTCTCAGCTACGTGGTCCCAAGGAAAGCCGTGCGGATGTAATGCGTATGTTGGGAGGATGGAGATGGCAGGCCGGCGTATGGGGACGAAGGTCGCAGGGTTGAATTGTTGTTTAAAGTGTCCAATAGGAGTCAACCCACTAAGGAGGTCAGCGAGTTTTTAGTGGGAAGATACCGATCATACCGACTTATCAGGTACCTAAGGTAACCTAGCAGCAGACCACCTGCACGCTACGCTACTTACATGTACATACCTACCTATATATTGAAGCTACGGTCTACCCAAGTTACATCATAAAGAGCCGCTAAACTGCCCGGGGTAGGTGGGGCTTCTAAAGTTTAGGAGGTGGGTGGTATTTAACATTTCTAGCATCTCCCACCATCATATTAGCACATATTAACCCCCGAGTCCCTGGATAGCTGGAGTCTTATCAGCGAAGCTTTCGAGCTCCCGCGTTTGCTTGCTTGCTTCAAAAAAAAATCGAAGCATATCATTCGTAGCCTCGTCGCTCCCCAAGTTTTAAATTTTCCGAGCTTCCATTCATAACATTCCTAACGTAACCATCCGTGCTGACCTATTTCTCCCGACTTTCATCTACTACTCCGCTCCCAGGAAGCGTATATAAATCAACTTTAGTAGTCGCAACAACATGATTTGAGTCTGAACAGAGTGTTCCTGAGAAGGTGCCACTTGGGGAAGTGATACCTCAATATGGATCGTCACGCAACACCGCCGTTTATGCTACGGCTCTTCTATCGAACTGGCGCATTTCACAGGTAAGTAGACCATCATGGGGTTCCCTGCGACGCTCCAACAATAAGGGGGGACCACCCGAGTGCTTATACACATCTCAGACCCGATGAGTTCAATACGTCGCAGCTCCCACCGCATATGTCAATATATACCTGGCCCGACTGCACTTTAACAGAGCTTACTTATATCATCGCTGCCTTGAAGCCATCTCTCCTCCCTAACCCGGCAATCGGTACTCGTTTCGCATTCCGCCTCATCTTTCCAGACACGCGAAGCACCTCAGGCCCGACGTCGTCCAAGTACACTGTTAAAGACTTAGGCAGCGTGATAGTTGGTAACGGGGGACGAGGATTGGATCCTGACGACCCCGAGGCTGAGAAGACGCTCGACTCTGAAGGCGAGAGGACTCTAAAGGAGGCCAGGTTTGTCGTTGGTGATTTTATATCGTGCGCCATCCTTCCTCCCCTACCAGACGGTTCCGTTGCCCCTGTTTCTAGCGCAAGGGTCGGACGCAGTGCCGGTGCTAGCGAGCCCAGGGCTGCTCTAGGTCGTACCCCTAGCGGTTCCTTCGGCGGAAGAGAACGGGAGAACGGGAATGACCGCTCTGGTAGACTAAGGAATAGCGGGAGGGGGTACGACGGGTTTGGGAGTCGTGGTAGCATACCGATGGGCGAATGGAGGAGAGGAGAACGATTACCTGAGTCGCCCCCTGCAGGACGTGGTAGAGGGATAAGACGGACATAGGACATGGGCCTGGGAGAAACAACAATATCTTTTGGAAAGCGGTCAAGATAAGATCAATAACATATTTGGCGGTAACAAACAAAATATGGTACGGATATGTACTGTCCCATGCGGACTTATGACAAAGTGAGTTGTTCCGACTCCGGAACGTCTCACTCCCGGTTGTTGTCTTCCAGCTCCGCGTATTTACTGATTTCAATGCAAGCAGGTTGTCCTGTCTTGGCTCTCGTGGCGGACGCAAATTGATACCCGAATGCTGCTGAGTGTTCAGCAAGCAAGTGATTATGTAGATACCCATCAAAATTGTCTCACAACTTGTTTCCGCTTTCCGGGTTTTATGGTATGCATTTTCTGGGCTATAGATGGGGGCGAACGGGCAATCAAGGGAGCATATTTGAAAAGTTTGGTTTGCGTTTGTTGTTTTATCTAACTAATAGTATATGTTAGTATCAATTTGACTAGTTTTGATTTTGAAGATATTTCATATCTACGTGATATTTGCTATTGAGAAACTAAACGTTAATGATCTAACTATGCTAGCCGAAGGGATCGATTACCTTATATTAGGTATGGAAACTATTATTTTTCAATATCATGATACATCCAACAGAAGAGAAGGGACGCTCTTATTGATGATTATAATATATTTTGGAGAGACATCTGAATGAAATATGCAGAAGAGGACGAGTAGCGGGCATTAAGAGTTGTCGTTCGCATATCATATCTATTATCATATCTATTACAACCCAGAGCTTCACTTGAAGACTATGCCATAACGTTAGGCGCTGGAGCCCTCTTGATATTCACTTTCAAGATAAACTTCAACATGATACTCTTGAAAAGTAGAAGCATTGAGAAGTGATCATTGGTCAAAGTCCTCGTTCAATTGCGGTAGCTTCGCTTAGCCTCATATACAGTTGTCCAAGCTTCTCCCACGCCGGTTCTTTTCTTAAAACTCTCTGACCAAGTCTCCCTTCCTCTTTGCTCGAAAATCGTACTTTCCCTACACGTCGGAGCCTTGTCAGCAATCCCCGCGTCTACATATATTTCCGTAGCAATTCTAGCTAGGCAGATGGAGTAGAGTACTCACGTCGGTGGCGTATGCGACAACGCCGAAGATGGCCGGCACGACGACGGCGTACATAAAAGTGATGCGGGCGGTTCGCGGAGTCCATCGGAAGAACGTGTGGCGGTTCGTGGTCATGCCTGCGGATCATATCAGCCATGGCTTGCCTTAGGAGGAGGGACGGGTAGACGTACTCCCCAGCTTCTGGATAGCCGGGTCCATCGACATGCCTGACATGAATGTTAGCTTCCTTGCTTATTGCCGCGGACGGAAAGCCAGTTGAGCTCTCGAAGTTGTATGTACGTACGGTAGTGCTCTACGCCAGCCATCTTGACAGAGGTAGGCGGTTGCCGTGCACTAGATAGATGGGTGTTTAGGTGGTTGTTTTCAACAGATCTGCATGTATCTCGAGATTGATTGTAGCTTCAATTCGCTCTGGACGTCTCGGATGGTTTGAGGCTTGTAAGTAACGTGGGGGCCTTTGATCTTCAGCCTTATTGTGGCGTAACAAAGCTTAAGCTACCTTAGGTAAGGTTCCAATTAAGTAATCCAGAAAGCTACGGTACCAAGACCCGCCCCATACAACTGACGTAGCTGTGTTACGAACCCGCAGCCATGAAGAAATAAGCTTACACAATATATTCATTATATGTTATGTCTAATATTTAATTTAGTCTTGATAACGACGAAATACTGAGGATTAGGTCTTCCCATGATGGCCTCGTGTAACTATAATACTTATTAATTCCAATCGTAGTGTTACTTACACTGCTTACTTCAGGTTTACCTAAGAGGTAGTCTATGATGTAGCCTGCAACCTATGCTTTTAGTGCAAAATAATTATACCTCGGCACCTTTTGGCCGTGGTTCTACAAATCCTCTTTTGTCGTATGATGAGTAATGAAGCTAGGATTTTGCAGCTTTTAATTAAGACTAAATTATAGTCTTGTTTACTATTTGAATCCAGGCTCGACTTACATAGAACTTAACCTAGTCTAGGTATAAAATTCAACAAGACCCAGACAGCGCCCTCAAGGGACATTACCTTTCTTCTTTCAAGCATACAAAACAGTCTTAGAGCACCTTTTTCTATACCAGCTCAGGTATCACTACCTAAATCACTCTCATATTCTAACAACTCACAATCATCTACGTGCTGTCCACCATGGCCACCGAAGAGCAGCCCAAAATCAAGCTTTACTGGTAAGTCCCTCCATTAGTCTCATCGCATCGTGAGTTGTCCCTTACAATTAAATAGGCTAGAGCAGTCTCGCGCTCAAAACATCCTTTGGCTTCTTGAGGAGCTCAAGGTGCCTTATGAGCTTGAAACATTTCGTCGAGTAAACATGCTCGCCCCTCCGGAGTTGAAGAAAATTCATCCGTTGGGAAAGTCGCCCGTGATCTCTATCACACCTGCAGGCTCGGAAGAACCTATCGTTCTAGCCGAGAGCGGGTTCATCACTCAATACCTGAGCGAGCATTTCAGCCAAGGCACCACCATGATGCCTAAGCGCTGGAAGGACGGCCAGGACGGCAAGGTCGGCGGCGAGACCGAACAGTGGCTGCGGTGGCAGTATCTGCTCCATTACGTCGAGGGTTCTCTGATGCCGATGCTTATAATGGCGATGGTCCTGGGAGCGCTCAAGGGGTCCAATATCCCCTTCTTCATCCGCCCTATCACCTCCATGGTTGCCAACCAGATCTTCAGCCGCCTCGTGTTCCCGAACGCGAAGTCGCAGCTGGGATTCCTGGAACAGCAGCTAGCGACTTCGGGAGGCGACTACTTGTGCGGCCCGGAACTCACATCTGCGGACGTGCTTATCAGCTTCGCGTTAATCGCAGCTAAGGATAAGTTTGAGACTTTTGGAACGTGGGAAAGCGGCGGTCCTAAGGCGTTGTTTCCTAAGGTGTTCGCGTACATCGATAGGCTCGAGGCACATCCCGGATACGGGAAGTCGGTCCAGAAGGTTAAGGAGATTGATTCGAGCCTGGGCATCATGTTCACACCCAAGATGTGAAATTGAAAACTCCTGATTATGCGGTATCACTCATCTTCATGCGAGATCATCACGAATACCGAGTACATGCAACGCGAATTATGCCTACATAGGTACCAAATTGATGCGGGATGGGGACGACTGAAAAACTTGCTGCAGCCGTTACGCTGGTTTAAGCCTTGACCTACCCTAGGCCCGGCTTGATTAGTGTCTTAAACTGAACACGGCATGGAAACAAAAAGCTATGGATATGAGACGTACTATCGAGTAGGAGACTGTCTTAGATATGAGCATTATAGTTGGAGGAATTAGTGATTGTATATACCTAGGTATAAATATAATATATGAGTTATGATTTATCGAAGGCAAAGCTAGACGATCATATTCGACTTTATCAAATATACCTAAGGTAAATCTAGATGGCACGTCGCCTTCTAATACCCCTTATCAATTTCTTGGACTTATTACGTACCTAATTACCCTTATCAATTTCCAGATTGGACAACGCCCAACGGCAAGGCTTTCTCACATGTGAGTTTGGTATCGTTACATAGAGAGTAGCGATGGAAGTTCCAGCATCTCATATAAGTGCCCCACTGCATACGGCAATAAAGACCGCCTCGCTAAAAAATAATTGAGACCCTCTTAGGATGCGGTCTCGGTCCTGATGTGATGAGTAGGGCACCTGATTATACATAGTACCGATGTGTGTCGAGACCATCTCTTATTTAGGTACTCCAGAGGCGTGTAAGGTGGGTGAAAAGGGAAAATGTGGTTTAGATAGTAATTGATTGGAGCTATAAGTCTACACAAAAATAACTTGGGCGCCCCACGCCTATGTCAAACTGATAACTAACAATTAAGATGGATTTGATGGATTTGATTTCGTCAGCAGTGCACCGAGCAGCCAATAAACTGTTCAACCAAGGGTGCCGATCCGGTTCCCGGCGGCTGTGTCCGAGGCTCAACCGCCTGTCTCTCCATAATAATAATAATAAGATATGTGCATATCAAAATGTATAGTTGCATTGCATCCCTCTCAACAACATTGAGGCCAGCCTTCTCGTTCTCGTTAGCTAGCCAGCCTGTCATACTTGTTCATAAGCTTACTCACCGCCCCCAATCAGATAGCATCGTACCTTGATTATTTCTCCTGAATGGATGCCTATTGAAACCTCATGCCGAACCCGTCGATTCCTTTGATGGATTGCAGTGCAGCTACGCCCGGTTAGCTGGGGGGGGGAGGCGGGGGCTGAAATTAGAGGAGAGGGGCTAATTCGGGCGGAAACAATGTCTACGATGGGAAATTACGTGCAAACAGGTACGTGTCATGGAGGAGTTCATGCCTGTGGTACGTGGCTGCGTTGTGTTACCAGGCTACTGACTGCTAGAATATAATAGGTACATACCTAACTTAGGTAAATATGTAATATGATAACAGAAGGCAGGTAGGATGTATGTAGATGCTTTCCGCTAAGATCCATTGATGTTAGTGCAGAGTTAACATATATAGTGCAGATACTTAAGTATTAATATCCAAGTTCATTGGATCCGTCCTTTTCGATCCCCAGATTTTAAAATCATTTTTTAGTTCGCTACATATAAATGTACCGTGGAAGCCGCTCAATTCTAGGTTAGCCCATTGTTCTGTGCTGCCCGACCCTACCGACCCTACCTACCTACCTACCTTAATGTATTTTAAGATATTGCCCTATTCTAACAAAAGCTTACAAAGGTTTTTAAAGCCCGACGAACATTAGGTACATACTTCCGAGGTATGTATGTATATGTGAACCTTCCAATAGCGTGATTGCATCACATATGACAACCCGCTTTGCCCCCGTCTAGTGTGGATTGCTCTCCGTTGCTGGCTCCCGAGTCACAAGCTCGACTACTTAAAATAATTCATTTTCGTTTGCGAGTGTTAAGTAATTGCCTCTCCGGTACTTCCGGGAATGCGACATTACTTGTCCTGTGGATTATAGCTGCTTCTCAAATGCACCCTCGACAGGTTTCCATCATCAGCATCCAGGTGGATAATGATAATTGATAATTCAATTATACTTCTCATGAAGTCCAACCCATCAATGATACCTACCTAGGGAAAGGTACTTAATCAGCCAGTATGGCGAGCACACCTGAACCCCAATCTCGGGCCTCGCTCCTCCAGGATATACTGGAGCCGCCTAGCTTGATAGTCTCCGACGGAGAGGTATCGCCGTCGTCTGACGGTGTAGTAGATGAGGAGTCTCTGTATATCGATCAAGACGATGCTCAATCCATCATACAGCCAGCCTTAAGTCCTGCAGCCACAAGGCTCACCTTGCCGAAGACTCCTGCAGCAGAGAAGGTGGCAGCCTTGGAGAGGGTGCCAGGAAGAGGTCTGTTCAGTGTTATCGAGGGACCTATCACTTCGGAGCCGGATAGTCTGCATCCATTAGCAATGGGTTCGACTAGGACGGCTTACCAAACCGCCGGTACAAGGGCGCAAACGCGCCAAACTAGAGGTCTTTCCCTAGGTCAACTTCCTTCGAGTCATTCACCTACGTACAAATTTCCATCGCCATGGCAGTCGGGGCCAAAGCAGATGGTTGTGCAGAACGAGCCTGGTTCGAGACCAGCTCTATCTGCCGTATTTGGTCAGAATAATGGCCATCGCCGTTCTTTGTCCGGGGGAGCAGATGCGCTGAAGAGGATACGGGAGGCTTTGCCGTCTATGCCGTCTATGCCGTCTATGCCATCCATGTCTATGCCATCCATTTCCCTACCGTCATTCTTTTCGGGACCATCTTCAACGAAGAACGTAGGGCTAGATGCAAAAAAGACTATTGCTTCCAATGACAGTGCACCAAGGGCAGGACGGCTCATATTCGCGGAAACGCCTGTCCTAACCTCCAGGAACATAGCCCCGCCGGAAAATAACCAATCGCTTATAGCTCTACCCATCCGCAATGCTGAAGGCTCTACATCGTCTCGACCGCCAACCCGGCCACGGACAATGCGGCGGTCAACTTCTGATGAATCCATACTCTACCATTCACTATCTAGGATGTCGTCCTTCGGTGACGACGATAGATGGAATGATATTAGAGAACAGAAAAACAGCAGGCTCAAAGCTATTACGGATAGCTTGGATGTGCCTACATTCAAACTACCTCAGTTTCCAAGTATCATTCCAGCTCCGCTCAAGAGAAATTCAACACTGGGGTTCAACCAGTCGGACTCGTCTTTATCAGGTACCCCACGTACCTCTACATTCTTCGATAATGGCCCATCAAATAACAGCGATACAAATCTGTCGGATCTGGATCGTGCTTTAGAATTGTTAACCGGCGATATTGTCATCATGGGTGGATACCGTGGGTCTATCTTGAGGTCTACCAAAACTAACCGTCAGGTTTGGGTACCCGTAAAGGTTGGGCTGAACATTCGAAAAGTTAACTTGGAAGTTGGTCTGGATCCCGAGGATGAGGAAAGAATGGAAGAGACGATATACGCCTCTGGTATGCTTAAAAACATAGGACCGGTCGATATCTCGAAGCGCTTGTTCAAGAGATTGAGAGAATGCGAAAATACTAGGTCGGGAAAACTAAGGGTATGGGATTACGGCTGGGACTGGCGTTTAAGTCCTCATCTACTTTCGCGCAAATTGATCGCCTTTCTCGAACAGCTACCCTCAAATCAGGGCTCTGGCCTCCCCGAAGGCAAAGGGGCACTGGTCATTGCACACAGTCTTGGAGGACTTATTACTCGCCACGCCGTAAACCAACGGCCTGATTTATTCTCGGGGGTAATTTACGCAGGGACTCCGCAACGATGTATCAACATATTAGGACCGATCCGCAATGGTGATGCTGTGCTCTTTAACGAGAAGGTCTTGACGGCGCAAGTTAACTTTTCGTTAAGGACGAGTTTTGTTTTCCTACCGGAAGACGGCTTCTGCTTCATAAATAAGTATACTGGCGAACAGTATCCAGTCGATTTCTACGACCCGCAACAATGGATAAAATACAGCTTGAGTCCGTGTATAGAGCCGTCTTTGCCCTCCTATAAGTCTCGTTCCGGCGCACTCAGCTCCCTGAGAGAGCTCTCCGAGAGACTACCGACACCATTAAGGAGCCGGGGAAATAGTGCGGCTAGCGAATCCCGGTCGCCAACACGCAATCTAGTGGCCGAAGCGGTACGGAAAGTCGAGGTATCTAACGATAGGACTCTGGCACCGCAAATGGGAACGCTGCATGGAGATTCGAGCACGGCCTATCAACAACAGCAGAAAAGCATAGATAACGACGCCGGGACACGCAGCCGCAACCTCGCGTACCTAACCCGGACGCTTGCCGAGATCAAGCGATTCCGGGCTGAGACCCAGCACCGGCCGGAGCACACGCAAGCCAACGCGTACCCACCGTTGGCAGTTATCTACGGCAAGGATGTACCAACTGTGTGGGCGGCGAGCGTTACGTCACGCGAAGCAATTGCGTGCGCGGATGCGTACGACGACTTAGTTTTCCGCAGCGGCGACGGCGTCGTGCTTGCCCGCGAGGCCATGCTCCCTGATGGGTATGAGCTCGTACGTGACGGTCAAGTTAGTACTGACAGAGGGCATATTACCATGTTGGGTGATATGGATGCCGTCGGAAAGGCTTTACTAGCAGTGATAAGGGGTCGCCGGAAGGGCATCGGACTCGGGGGTCCTGAAATTTAACCTTTTTCGCAGCCGCGCGATCGGGGGGTTATGATAGAATAACAAAGTACAGCCCGGGTTTTATTAGAACGGTTTAGATTGCCGAGAAAGACAGACATACGGGCAACCGAATAAGAAAGGCATCATGGGCGCATTGGATATAGGTCCTCATCAGCGATAGGTCTTTTTTATTATTTATTTCTTCCCTGCTACGGGTTGGGGTTCTAGGGTATTGATATTGTCTTAACTATGGATGGGGCCTGTGGCATTTGCATAGCATTATACTGTAGCTTCGTCAGTAGCAACTCTATTTTGGTTTATCTTCTTCTACGGTATGGTGAGCTTCGACTTAGAGAGCTGGGCTGGGGTGGATTATGTGTAACTAAACTACCTTCTTTCCTACCTCTACCTACCTGTCTTGGTCATACAAGAGGAAATCTCGTACAGACATATTACTCCTGCTCGCGAACTCGCGTTTCCCACGATATGGGGGTGCCACGGTGCTACGTGATCTGGCATCGGGTGAGCACCGAGTTGTATTTATTTATTTATTCATCTCTAGTTATATAACTCATCATTTACTTTTCATATACTACCCGCGTTATATAGAGGTATATTTCGGCTGGCTGCTTCTCGAGCGACAAGGTATAA